TGTTGACCTGGCCAAAATATCATAACAGGATTTTTTTTTTTAATTTGGTTTGTCAATTGCTTACAAGATAATAGGTATAAGTAAAAACATAGTTATGAATACATGGATACATATAAGAAAAATAAAAAAAACAATAGGACAGGGATGGTAGGCAGATTGGTGTGCTTATGCATGCCCCCTACAGACCTCTTAGGAAAGAGGTGAGGTCAATAGTAGACAGTCTAAGGTTAAAGTTTTTGGGGTTTGGGGAAGAAACCACAGAGTCAGGTAGAGTACTCCAGACATTGTCCACTCTGTTGCTGAAGTCATATTTCCTGCAATCAAGTTTGGTGTGATTAACCTTGAGTTTGTATCTATTGTTTACTCTTGTATTGTTATGGTTGAAGCTGAAGTATTCATTGACAGATAGGACATTGCAATGTATGATTTTATATACCATACTTAGATAGGACCGGAGGCGGCTTAGTTCTGGGTTTTCTAGGTCTAGAATTTCAAGTCTGGTGGCATAAGGTATTCTGCAATGAGTAGAGGAATGGAGAACCTGAATAATCTTGCCTCCTTATCACCACTGAGGTGGTGTTATAGAGTGGGAGTGCTTAGATCCTCAGAAGATCTGAATTCAGAAATAAGGCTATCAGAACAGATCTTAATTCTTGTTTGTAGAATCGACCACAATTGTCTGGATTGACATAGCATGCTAAGCCAAAGAAGCCATGAAATGGTTCTGGTAGTGTGAAGTATAAACCAGACATCAGTTGGAAGTTGATAACCTAAAGTCCATTATTCAGAACTAAGTCACAGTCATGAAAAGTAGCAGCATAGTGATCACATTTCACACATTCTTCCTTCAGCTCGCTCTCTGTTGAGGTTAATCTAAAACTTGCAATGACACATCTCAGATCTGTGGTGACAACCTAGAGAATCAGGCCTAGGGATGGTCTGGTGGTGTGATCTAGAATGAGTTTGAGTTGGTGATTCTTGAGAAAGTGGACAGAGCTCTCTCTGCTGTTAGCTTGGTTATTTTTTACTGGATCAGGGTCCCCCTGGGTTATGAAAATGGCCAGGGAAATGACCATGCTGCTTGTCAATGACCTATGGCAGGGCCAGGATTGTGGTCTATGTTCTTCTTGATCTCTCAGTGACTCCTTTCTTCTCTCTGGGAATAGCAGATTCTTTACCATCATTATTATTTTGTCTCGTGCTGTTTTTGTTTTGTTCTCCATTTTTAAAACATTTTTAACACCTGTAAACTGCCCAGAGCCTCTGGAACTCAGGTGGCATATAAATGTATAATTATAATTATTATTATTAAACTAGAAAATATTATTCCTCTTGGTTACATGGTATTACTGTTGATTTTCATACTAAAATGGTATACTTAAAGAGATAATAAAGAGACGCATAACATCCCTTCAAACCTCAACCATTATAGGTAATAGGTGAAGAGGGAGCTTATAAACGTTTTTTTAATCTTCTGCCACTATGTAGTGTGAGTAAGAGCTGAATCTAGAATGGTCTTATGCAGAAGCAGGAGGACAGATTATGCCCATAGATTAAGGTTTGTTTCCTAACGATGGGATCAGAAGTAAGAGAAAGTAGAATTCATCCTATACATCTTTAGTTGTTTGTCCATGTTCCTTGCTGTTTAGTACTGCTAAACAGTACAGTACATGGTACTGCTGCTTCTGTACAAAAGTAGTAAAACTGTTGTATGTGATTTTGAAAACAATGCTATGAGGGTTGCAAAACCCATTCTCTATTCCTACATTAAATGCCATAAGATGCCTGCATTAAAAGGTTAGAAATTAGAAGCAGAAAGATAAAAATATGACTTGTGTATAGAGTTGATGCATCTTTGATGTCTAGTTGCTCCTTGAAAATGCAATTTATTTCTCAAAATACGTCTCCTGTTATCATTTTGCTAAACATCAGATAAATGTGCAAATGGATTTTTGTATATTTTAACATGCAGGGGGTCAAGTGATTTCTCTCCCTGAAGACTTTTGAATTCCCATTGGGATAAATCATGTTAGAATCTTGAGATCCACCCTGAGGGCAAAATATGTCACAAGATGCATTTAGATTCATGTGTACCATGATCTTTATTTTCTCTGCCAAAGCATACCTTTTAACAACAGGCTACAGTATTTAAAAAGACAACGATTCAGCAATGTTTTGGGCCATATGCTATACCCTGTCAGGTCATTATGAGTGGGAATTCAGTTGTCATGGAAGAGCGGGATAACTTTGCATTGTTTTTCTCCATTTAACTCAATGGGAAGAAATTCCTTGCACCAGTTTTTCAAACCTGGCATCTTCTATACGTGTGGCGATTATAGTAAGATTTTCCAGCCACTGCAGTCCCCATAAATAAAGGATATCCAACTGGAGAAGATTGCCTGTTTTGCTATTTTATTTTTCCTGGGGAAATTACATAATATTACCCACTAGATTGTTCAGGGAATAGCACTGTATTTCATGATGACAGTGGTATATAATTTGTCCCACCACTGTAAAAGAATTGCTGTTGTAGCAATTATATCCCAAATTCTCTCAAGAAGAATTTAATCTCCAAGCATGAACAAATGTCTCTGAACCAAACTACTTAACAAACAGAAGACTTTGAATTCTGGACTTGTTTGCGAGGTATTTTTTAAAACCCAGAAGAGAAAGAAGTTAAGTTTCAGGTAGATACATAGCATAGAATTTCCCAAAACTGATAGAAAGCAGACTGGTCTATAGGGTTTTCTATACCCCCCTTCATATATAGGGAAAGTATTATAAGACTCCACTCCAAGGAGATTAAACCATGATTATCTATTTTAGCAAACAAAGCTGATAATACAGAGACCCACCAATCTAAGTTTTGGTTAGGAAGATTGATGGGTATATTATCCTGGCCAGAAATCTTTCCAGATTTACTTTATTTTAAAAATAACAATCTCTTCCTCACACACTGGTTCTCACTGTACAAGCTGCTTTGATCTGATGTTATTTGCTATATTCTTAATAGGCTGTTTTTGTTCCATAGAAATAGATTTGAAATAGCATGAATTCTCAGTTAAGATATTCAATGCCTTCTTTGAAAAACACACATTCCAGGCAGGAAGGGAATGCAAAACAGATAGTTCCCAACTTACAACAGTACATTTATTGACTGTTCAAAGTTATAAAAGCACTGAAAAAAAGGGACTTATGATCTTGCAGCATCCCCATGGTTGTGTGATCAAAATTCAGACGCTTCGCAACTGATTCACATTCATGACTGCTGCAGTGTTCTGGGGTCATGTGATCAAATTTTGCAATTTCCTCACAAGCAAAGTCAATGGGGAAGCCAGATTCATTTAACAACCATGTTACTAATTTAACAACTGCAGTGATTCACTAAACAACTGTGGCAAGAAATATGGTAAAATGGGGCAAAATTCACTTTAACAAATGTTTTACTTAGGAACAAAAATTGGGGGTTTCATTGTGGTTGTAACATTAGGACTACCTAAAGATGTAAGCAAGAAAAATATGTAGGCATCTATTTCTGCCTGAATGATCTTAAAGGAATCCAGAACCGGGAAAACCATTATTCTCTTCTGTTGAAATTGGTAAGCAGAAGATATGTAATTTTCACTGAATTCCACTAGCGACAACCTGCTTACTTGGAAAATTGCAAGAACTCTGGGACCTTAAAACATTTACTGCAGATATGTAGGTAGTCCTCGACTTATGTCCACATAAGTCCAACATTTCTGTTGTTAAGTGAAACATTTGCAAAGTGAGTTTTGCCCCATTTTATGACTTTTCCTGCCAGTTAAATGAATCGCCGAAGCTGTTAAGTAACATGGTTGTTAAGGGAATCTAGCTTCCCCATTGACTTTGCTGGTCAGAAGGTCCCAAAAGATGATCACATGATGCTGGGACATTACAACCATCATAAATATGAGTCAACTGCCAGTCTGAATTTTGATCACGTGACCATGGGGATTTTGCAATGGTCATAAATGAAAATCAGTCATAAATCCATTTTTCCAATCCCATTGTATCTTCACTAAAGGAACTGTTGTAAATCAAGGACTACCTGTCATCAGATTAGATTATTAAATGCAGATTGCAAGGCAGAGGAAGGCCTCTTGGGTAACAATCAAATATACCGTAAATTGTATTTTCCACTGTATTTCTTGCTGCAGCATCCTCCTGTAAAGTATAAGCGTCTGTTTCCAAGGTCTACTATAGCCAGATCAGGTCTCAGCAACAAAATCAAGACATTTTAAAAACCTTAACGAATTTATTTCCCGATAACGTTCCCAGACTCCACAGGCAGATTCGGCGGCCAGGCAGTGAAAGGGAAGCATTACATCCACACTCCAGCTTGGTAAAAACTGTTTCTGGAAACTAAGAAAGCCTTTTTATTTTGCTCTGAGAAAGAAGAGAATCTGGAAGGACAATGCAGGAACCTCTCAGAAACGAGAGGACAATTTATAGTGAGGACAATTAACCAATGGAACAGCTTTGCCTTCAGAAGTTGGAGATGCTTCATTACTGGAGGTTTTTAAGAAAAGACCGGACATCCGCCTAGCTGAACTAGTATAGCTCCTGAACTGGTAACCTCCTGCTTGAGCAGGGGTTGGACTAGAAGACCTCCAAAGATCCCTTCAAGCACTATTCTGATGGAGAGCGGGAATCCAGCCGGCCGGCTTCCACCCGCCTCACGCTGGAAAGCAAACGTCAACGTCAGTCTTTAAACCACGCCCTCCAGAAGTGGCGGGGTGTGGTGGTGGAGGGGGGGGAAAGGTGTGAGTGGGAGGAGGAAAAAGAACGTTAGAGCCACGTGACGCGATCAGGCCAATGGAGAGGCGGCCAGCTAGCCCCGCCGTGAAGCAGGCAGGCTAAGAGGACTCTTGGCGGCGGCTACATTCTCCTCCTCCTTTTTCTGCCAGCGCTCCCGGTAGTCGGAGCAGGGGGCGGGGGAAGAGAGAGACGAGTTCCGCGCGGGGTCTGAAGGAGGGAGCCAGCCAGCTAGCTAGCTAGCAAGCAAGTGCGGGAGGCGGGCGGGGAAGGCGAGCCGGCTGGCTGGCTGGCCGGCCAGCCGGAAGAGGAGAAAGAGCTGAAGAGCGAGAAGGAGAAGGGAGGGAAAGAAGGCAGAGGCGACGGGGCCGGCACCGCTGCCACCATCACACCTCCTCCTCCGCTACCGTCCTTTCCGGGAGGCTGCGACTCCTCGGCCTGGCGGGCCCCCAGACATCCAATCGGTCGGCCATGCCGAATAAAAACAAGAAGGAGAAGAGTCAGGTCAGGCCCGAGAGAGGCAGCGTCGGCCGCGGAGTAGTCCCAGGCAGGAGCAGGCCCTTTGGTAGTGGTGGGGGGAGATATTCTATCTAACTGGTTGGGTGGAGCAGTCTGGTGGGGCCTGGAGACTTTGGGGAGGGGGCGCCCGAAGGGAAGGCTACAATGCTGCGTGTGTGTCCCGATTTTATTGGGAATTGGCGAGATTTGAAAAGATGACACTCCCCTGGAAGGTGTCACTTGGGAATGAGTCCTTCCCACCTGTAGTACTTTATATGGCACTATTCATGTATGCATACACACGCGTATTTCTCGTGTAAACTCTCCCCCCCCCCCCCGCCCAATCTCCCCCATTTCAAACTTGGATGAAATGAGCGGGGGAGGGAAGCAAGAAAGCCCGAGTTTGTACTCTGCGGGAGGACGAGAGTCTCTTGCCTTTTGGAGGGGAAAAGACTTAGCGCCGCATGAGCTCTAAATCTGGCAGCAAGACTCTTTGCTGCAACAAACTTAACACAGCTGCCCCGTTTTTGCAAGTGTTGTTTTGGGATGGTTTCTGGATGTCCTAAGTGTTCACTGGTGAAAGAGGATGAGCTTAATTTGGAAAGTGACTTAGACTGTGCATGCTTAGATGGGGGCGGTGGAGGAGGTTTCTTGCCACAGTCTGGCAAACTGGTGTAGAGAGTACTAACAGAGGTTGATGTGGGGGAATCAGTCTGGCTATAATAAACTCATTTCAAGGTTCACTTGGTATTTTTCTGTTTCATTTTGACGTGTTTATGAAAGTGTCATTGAACAAGTGTTAAGATTTAAGGTACTGTTTTCCTACTTGAACAGTGTACAGGCATCATTCTATCTAGGCAGTGGCGCAATCTTATGCTTGTGTACTTTGGAATAAACTTTATTGTTCAGTGAGTCTCATTAATTCAAGTCTGCATACCAACAGGCTGTGTATGTATTAAAGCTGTACACTTTGTCTTCTAACTGGCAAATAGAGATCTGGTATCTTATTGTTTATTATTGAGTGAAACAGGAAGGTTCTCTTCTTGTTAATTAATCCTACAGTGTTAAATTCTATGGTAGCATCTCCATATATGATCATAAATGCAAATGTTTATCACATGTATTTTATTACTTTTATTAGAGTACATTATGGTTTGCTACAATTCTACTTGCCCTTATAAATCTTAAGAATAAATATCTAGGGAAATTTGTCTATTGGCTGAGGGCCTAGGTTCTTGTTGGCACTTGCATTCTGAAGTGTTTTAAACACATACGGTATATGAGTACAGCTCATCATTTGGCAAAACTTTTTAAGTCCTATAAATGGAAGCTCCTTGGTAGGATACTTGAACTCATGTGACCTCTCCCTATTACAAATTTAATTAGGCCTTAAAGAAAACTAATCTACTGCCTTTGCTTTTTTTAAACTATTTCATGTTTTCTGTCAATGAACAGTGGTTTCAAAACTCTACTGCTTGTTTGACAGTAAATGCAGGCCACATATTCTGTTTGATGTAATGCACATTTTAAAAGTTTATTGAATAATGACTTTCTAACCAAAATTACGTGTGTGCTTGACATTTTCTTATCTCTGTCAATTTTAGGAACCTCCAAAAGTAGGCAAAAGTGGCAAAAGCAGCAAAGATGTACAAGATAATCTGGATATTGAGGTGAGTTTTTAAATACTGGAAAACTATGCTATGTTCTATAAGATTTGAAGGATTTGGAAGTCCCTTTTTTGTGACATCTCAGTCTGAATTCTCTGAGTAACTTTAAACCCTTCTCGCATTTCCCTAATCTAATATATGGATTCTAGGAATGATTATATTGGCTTACTTAATTGAAAGAATTTTTACAATAATATACTATAAGTGTTTTGTAAGTTTCAGAAAAATTACTGTATAAAAGCTACTTTTATTATTGAGGATCTGGAGTCTTACCATATTTCAGTAGAACTGCTAGAGTATAAATTAATCCACCTGTTCATATTCTAAGTTGCTTATAAGCTTGCAAATTGCAGTGACAAATATTTCTTAATTAAATTAAAATTGTACCGAACAAATCTTTTAATAATCTGATTGATATAAACACTAATATCCTGTTTTAACTAGTCAGTAATTGTCTTACCTGTTTTGTGCTTCTTATATAATGTAGAAACTATTCCTATGACCCTAGGACTTTTCTATTCAGTCATGCATCTCTAAATTGTATAATCTTGAGAATAAAATTTTAAATCTTCAGTAATATGTCTTTTAAAAGCTCTCTCAAATGTTCAAGGCATATGTTTTTAATATTTTTCTCAGTAATATTTCTGCTCAATATAAATATAAATATATGTAAAGTATAGATTACCTATAACTTGAGTATAGATTTTAGTTTGGAATTTTTATTTTTGCAGAAATACACAAATGTGCTTGTTAATATTAGGGTAATGATGTTATGAAAAGGATCAGGCAGATGAAACATTTAATAGCTTGTCATATTTCATTAAGCCAGGGGTCCTGTTACTAAAAAGCAAACTATTATCATTTTGAAAGTTACCCAATGTCAAGAAATGGTCAGTAATTCTAAAAGTTCCCTCAATTAGATCTAGCACCTTCTTGACTAGAGATGAACCTCCCACATTCTGCTTATAACACCACTGCACAAAGGGTTCTGTCTAATTTTCAATAAAAATTGCAAGCACTTAGCGACTATTAGATAAAGAGTTCATTCAGCAGGGAATGACAAATGTTGTGTCAGGAGTACGTAATTCTTCATACTACCAGTCATGCCTTGGATAGACTAACCTTAGTTGTGCATTTGGGGGCCACCCCTATTCCAAAGCAGTTATTCTGCTGCAGATTCAAGTGCTATGCATACCTAGTAAGGATGAACACTATGTAAGTTTCTTCTCAGTGTTTTCCTTTGTGAAGCTTTCTTGCATTAAGCATCCCTGTGGGTTTGATAATATTTTCCCTGTTGTTCTACAAGTCATATAGAAAAATCTTCTCTGTTGCTGGGGCGAGTAGAACTAAGGAGACAGGAGCATTCACAGGGATCTGGTTGCATGTATATTTGGATTAGCTTCCTTAGCTGTTACATGCAATGTACATGGGAATACTAATTGGGAAGCTTGTTGCCCAGTTTGAAATTAACATTCTACGAAAATAGAGAACTTGTATATTCAGATGCAGCTTATCTCTGGAGATATATATAGAGAGACCTTAAGAATCTTTTTCTAAGTAACAGATTTCTAGGATATAGAGTGCAAAAGTTTGACCAGTGAGTGCTGTAAAGAATAATAGGATTAATTGAATATATGCATAGATGTGCTTCTGACAGTAGAACTGAATGGGGTAATGATAGAAGAGCTTCTGCTGGATCTAACAAAGGGGCCATTTACTGTATTACTGTGCAAACCTTGTATGGTCAGAAGCATTTGGGAAGCAGTGGTGTGCAAAATTCAGATACCTGATTCCTGAGCTCAAGAAAAGGCACAGCACCTGAAGTTGTCAACAGGTGTAGCAAAGGCACCTGCACTGAATCTCTTGCCTGCTTCATACCTAAATGCCACACATTTCTAACTGGAAACAATATTTTATAGTTGTTCAGTTGTTCACTAGAAGCTATAATTATAGATATGGTAGGATGTAGTATATAAGAATTGTTATTACCATCAGTATCATGAATTTGTTCAGCCTTTTTTTAAGCTTGTAATCCAGGGCTCCTCAAAAATTCTAGGGAGGAGTAACAAGCAATTTAGAATTTGCTTTTTTTAACTCATCAATCTCATACAAGCTATCGCTTTCAGTGGGCAACCCTGTAGCATGCTTACATAAGTGCAGTGGAGAACGGGCATATGCAGAGGGAGAGCAAAAAAGTAAAAATGATAGCTTCAGTTACAAAAAGGTGGGGCTTTGCTCATTTACTCTTAAGCACAATGTGGTCTTTTTGAACACTCTTCACAGATGTCACTGGTAGAGAGCAGAGTCTTGGGCAAGTTTTCATAGCAGTCAAGTTTGCCTGTGCAAGGCTGGTGCAGACAAAGTTGGATCTTAGTAAAATTCATTTCTGCTGTGCCTGGCCAGACCTGCAGTGGACTTGCACAGGCAAAGCAAGGAGCAAAAACTGGAGCAACTTTCTATATATTATATAATCTGCTGTCGCCGGCGGGGGTGGGGAGAGTTGGGGGGTGATTTTGTTATATGTAGAGTATTAATTTATTTGATTCTTTTTGTTAGTTTTTATTGTTTTAAATGTGGTTTTATATTCTGTAAGCCGCCTTGAGTCGCCATGGGTGAATAGGAGGCACTATAAATTCAATAAATAAATAAATAAATATGTATCTTGTCTATCCATCTCTAAAAACGAACTCCCCAGTCATAGCAGCTTTATTATTTATTAACCTATCAATCCAGGGGATTATAAATTCTTACAGCATATGCTGGTAAATTATAATGTCTGAAAATGTAAACATATATTGTCTTTCTAAGACACCACATAAGCCTTTGTGTCCAATAGGAGTTAAGTTGTTCCATGCCTCACAATCAGGAGGCTGTGAGTTCGATCCTAGATAGAGGCTAATATTTGGAGTAGACTCTCCTGTTCAAGCAGGGGGTTGGACGAGATGACTCCAAGGTCCCTTCCAACTCTTGTTATTCTATGATACTCTGATCAATTTTACCTTGCCTCCAGTGCTGCCATCAACATCTCTCCCCAGTCTCTATTTTATATAAAAAGTTTCCCTTGATTCTGTGTGATTACATGGATACAACTTTTTCTGATTTCCCCATCCAAGTTTAGATCTCTGGGATCTCCTCGGGATGTTCCATTCAGTTACTGACCAGGGCTGACCCTGCTTAGTTTCTTCAGAATCAATCTAAAAGTAACTAGGTGATATGATATGCTGTAATTTTGCCTCTTTAATTTTGTCTAATTTTTGTAAATGCAATTTGAAATCTTTCTATCTGAAAATGTACTAGTATATGTTATTTTTTAAAATGTTAGTGGAAAATGCCAGATTGTAAAGTCTAAAGATTGTCCTCAATTCAAAGGACAGAAAGAACAAATAATAGTAACTTACAAGAATTTTATTTTTAAGTACCTATATAAATGATCACTCTATTTCAATTTTCATAATACTTTCTAAAAATATTTGTGCAATAGTGAAAGAAACTTATTTCAGACATCATGCACAGTTATATAAATATTAAAATGTGGGGTTCCTAAGACCAAAACAAAATTAGATTTAATAGCCGAACTTGTAACTCAGTTTGGGTGACAAGGCAGGGTTTAGAACTACATATGATGTGGATGTAATCCTAATAGCAGTAATCTTCACTTTCTCAACAGTATCTAATAAAACAAAATATAAGGCATCATATCTGATTGTTTCTAATACCTAGTCAGCACTAATTAAGTAAAGCTGAATTGGGGAAAACGCACACAATACACTATATATTTTGTCAGACGAGATACAGGACTGCAAGTTTTGGTAGCAGTTAAGCGGCTTCCTCTTTTCCTGATTTCAGGAAAATTTCTGCATGCTTCATGAAATGAGGATTGCCCTCACATTGTTTTTTGCATACCCAGATATCTATAATTCCATCCAAAGAATAATATTTCTTCTTTGACCAGGTATTTTATTGTATGGATATAATTATTTTAACTGCTTGCAAAAGATGTAATAAGTTTGGTTTCGAACTTGTCTACCTAATCATGTCCATATGTGAGGATATTATTGTTGGAAAAATGTGTAGGCTTTAAATATTGATTTCCCTCCCACAGAATTGTGGTAATCTTCTTATTTACTTTGTACTCTAAATCCAAATCTTCCTGTTATAATGCATACTGTTTTATTTAGCATGGTAGTCTCTTAAAACTAGTATACTATTTTGGGGGAGATTTGACAAACTGTTAGAAATATAGAATAGTTATCTTTCTTTTTCTTTGCAACTATTACTGGGTCATAAACTTGGATCTCCATATAGTACCATATATTGCCTTGCTTTGGACTCAAATTGGAATCATTCTATCATTTTGGCATTTGTCCACAGGCATTGACTTCAACTGCTCCATTTCTTCTTTGTCTTATCCAAAGAAAATCTGGTGTTCCTCTGATATGAATTGACTCATTCCAGGCCTTTTACTTCATTGATTCCCAGAATGCCAATATTCAGTCATGACATTTTTGCTGTGACAGCATCAGGCTTGCTTAGGTTCATACCCTGATATTCCACAAACTAATATGGCAGATCTATCTTTTCTTTTGGCTATGGATATATCAGCAGATGGACATTTTTTTCAGCTAGGCAGCTATCTGGAAATTCCAGCTACTTTCAGATGCCCAATATTAGCTTACACAAAATATAAAAAGTTTTATTGTTTTCTGCATAGCTGAGAAATTGCTTAGGTCTTTTTCTCTGCAATCTTGCTTCTCTTGCGGTAGATTTATTAAGAAGAAGCTAGTAATAAGCAGGAGATTAATTCATACATAATATGTGAATTCCTAATTACTTATGCTAGATTACTTCAAAATATGCCTTTGCAGAATACTTTCACATTCAAACTGCCAAAGATGCTACTGAGATCTTGTGCAGAATGAAAAATATTGAGAGACTTGATATTTGTGAGATATTTAGCATTTACAATAAAGCATTTAAAGTTGGGTTCTATGGGTTACATCTGGAGATATTATCTGTATTATGGCATTTGCAAGCATTAAACCATAAACCTCTGGCTTATAATTGCCATATTATATATACATTAGATAATACCCCATGTAAATCCTAAAAATCTAATATTAAATTCAATATTAAATCACTATTTTTATTTCCTTTTCTAGATAAGCAAAGGAGAGAGAAATGTGTGGTCATGTACTAAGACTTCAATATTAGAACTGGAATTTCTATTAATATGGATATTAGCATGTCATTATGTCAGGGATATATTATGATAGTGAAATAGTTTTCCTCTAGAATTTCAGATTGCCTCCTGCAGCATCTACCAGGGATTGCAAATTACAGATCTGAATATTTTAACTGTTCATGACTTATGGTTATCTAACCTATTCTTAAAAGTCTCCAGTGGTAGAGAACCCACAACTTCCGTAGAGAGATTGTTCCTCTGTGGTACAGACCTTATTATCAAAAAGGGTTTCCTCACATTTCAACAAATTATCACACTCCCTGAAATTCTACCCCCAAACTGAATAGCAATCTGGGAACAGAACAAAAAACTCTGTTTTTTCTTCTATTTCCATAATATTGTTTTATATGTATAAAGATTCTGTCCTTTCTCTGCACTGTATTCAAAATAATTCAGCAATCCTAAAGTAGAGAAAGAAAAGACTCTTACATTTATATTCTGGTCACTTTTTTTGTTCCTCTGTGGAACAAAACCTTTGACCTTATTATCAAAAAGAGAGTAATTAATATGAGAGTAATTATTAAATTACTTTTTAGCTCCTGCAATCTCTTACTGTTCAAGAGCTGATAGATGTTTATTTTTGAAGAACTTTTATTCACACCATATCCAGTTCATTTTGAAATAATATAGTGTATGTTTCATAAAGGATGGTGTTATTTTTGGTGTTTGTCTAGGCCAGTGGTTCTCAATCTGTGGGTTGCGACCCCTTTGGGGGTCGAACAACCCTTTCACAGGGATCGCCTAAGACCATCGGAAAACACATATTTTCTATGGTCTTAGGAACCGAGCCATAATTTTATGGTTCGGGGTCACCACAACATGAGGAACTGTATTAAAGGGTCATGGCATTACGAGGGTCAAAAACCACTGGTCTAGGCTGATATGACAAACACTCCTTTTTTTCTGGATAGCTTCAGTTAGCTAGTAAATATTTGGAATTGTGAATATTTTTATCATATTTTATATGCCTCTGAATCATCAGCTCTTTTATCCATGATTATAGCATTGCTTTATCCAATTATTTAGTCTAAAATAAGCGTATTATTGCACAACAAATTGGTCAGAGTTAATTTTAGTATAATATAAAATCCTAACATTATTATTTATTTCGTCCTACTCAAACTTAATTAGTAATCAGGTCTTTTTAAATATTGATTATCCAGAAGGGGAAAAAAGTGTTACCTCATGTCCAGGCTGGAATTTTATATTTTAAATCCATTCTATTAAAACTATGTAATGTTTTCCATTATGAAAGAACTGGTGGGGAGGGATTGAATTTTCTGAAACCAATGTTGTAATCTTTAATTTGCATTATTTGCTATGCAGCATAAATCAGTTTTGCCCTTGCTAGATGCAGAATTTAATATTATTTTTTATAAATAATTTCTCATTTTATCCTCCAAATTATTCAATATTTGGAATCTTCTCCATTAGTTCCTTAAACTTAGTAACTAGCACAACTTAAAAGACAACGAGATCAGGGCCATTTTGGAATCATTTGTGCTAAAATGGAACTGACTTTTTTTCCTTATTCTTGCTACCAAGTTTTTATAAGTTTTACCCAATTCAAATCCAGATCTGAAATTATGCTCTTGTGTCTTCAGAAATAGAGGGATTATATTTTCTTCATCCCAGAATGCAGGAAGAAAATTGCAAAACCATCCATGTTATTACAACTTACTATACTTTAACATTTCACAGCAGTAGCAATATCTAGCCATCCTTGGCTGATATCAAGAATATGAAAAGGGGTCAGGTCTGGTCAGCACCTACCTGGGTGAAAGACTACCAGAGCTTTCCAGAATAAGCTATAGATTAAAGTGGGATGTGTGAAAAGAAAATCTGAAATAAGGGAATTGTTAAAACAAAAAGTCTATATTGTTGTTCCTGGAATTCAAACTTGACTTGATAGGAGATTTTATTTACTGGTTATTCTAAAACACTATGGCTATGTATAATTTCTTGTATCAATCTTAGTATTGTTTACTGTCCAGTGTAGAGGTTTTCCCAAGATTCTCATGATACCCTTCTTTTCAGTTACATTACATATTGGCAGCTAACCATGAAGCATATTTGAAATATATACAGTACTATGTTAAAGGATGCTAAATAATGGTAGAGTTTTTGTGAGCATTAAGTGTTTATGTGTGTCATGATTGCATATGAGATTTTTAAAAAGCAACCGGGTCTTGTACGTGCTATTTTGGAAACCTTTGTGATACTATAGGAGGCAAGGAAAACACAAGGAACACAAGGAAAAAGGTGAAAAGCTGCTTTTTTAGCTTTTTGAGTATTTGATGGTACATTTATAGGAGTATGAATGATGAAAACAAATTATCAAGAATATTTGACTAGGATGACTTCAAATTTATCATTATCATATTTGCTTTGGTATATTTACATTTTTATATCCATAGTTGTGAGTTTAGTTCCACAGTTATAGAAATTAATGTCAGTACCTGTAGCTTATTTCTTATAAATAAACGCACACACCTTCAGTCTTTAAATTAGAATTTAAGTAGTGAGAAACTTAAGTATCTCTTAAGTATTTTATCACTACTTAAATTTAAGTTATAAACCTATGCCAAACACCTTTCCTCAAATGGCTGAAGATTAGGAAAGAGGAAATACTGTAGTTTGGGGAATAAGTAATTTTTCTCAGCAATTTCCTCAAGGTATTCCTTTCTTGAGCACATATTAAAAAATCAACTTTGAAGTAGTAATATTATTTCAGTCCTCTCTTTGTTCTATAGTTTGCAATAATATTGCTTATAACAGAAAAATTCCCATTTTTGAGTATCAAATTCCTTGTTTACACAACAATTATAAATAATTGTCTATGTAGGTAATTATATATGCCAAAATTTAACATATTGTAAATCTAGTTTCTTCCACTGGAGGTTATGAAGTTTTTATATTCAGAGGGCTATCTAGGTTTACTGTGAAAATAAAGTCATAGTTTTGAAAGGTGTACACTAATGCAGGGATTCCAATCCTCTTTAAATCACTGGTACTTTTGAGAATGTATTCTCGGCACTGTCCCCAAAATTTCATCTTGGAAGACATGGCCAGTCACAAAATAGGGCAATGTGATTTAAAGAAAATACTTTTTTTAAAAAAATTAAAAGGCAGAGATGAAATCTGAATAATAAAACAGAAACTTTTGCCTTGGGATCTGCATAATGTTATAGCCAAATGCATTTTGTTCAAGGCTTAAAGATAGTATTAGGAATAAAGATGATTCTAGAGATGGTTAGCAGCAAGAGAGGGATCTATCAGCATAAATTTCAGCACTTATTAATGAGAAAGTAATATCCATAGGAAGAAAAAATGCACAATTTAAATAGCACATTGAAAAGCTTCTCCAAAGGTTTACACTTTTAAAATACATTTTTCAAAGGAACCCTTGAAGACAAGAGCCTTCATTTTTGTAAGGGGTAGGGAAGGAATGTCTTGTAATTTCATCCAATTTTCTCCTTTGGTGGTAGTCTATGAATCATATCTTGTGATATTTTACAACATCTGTAAGGTTGTCCCAGGGAAGTATCGCAAATCAATGGCAATGATTTCTCCCAGTATAGTTCAACTCTTTGACTATTATACGAATACATATTTCATTCAAAAAAGAAAGGCACATATATGTACTTTCAGTTGTATATACAGTACATAGGTAACTGTAACCATTCCCATATTAGAAATAAAGGCTTGAACATGACTATTATCATGAATTTCAAGATAGCCAAAAAGAATATTATTCTCTCTGGAAATGGAAACATGTGTGTTATTGACTTAATGCTAAAAGATCTGTAGCTCAGGCTTAAACTCTGGGGTCCTTGGTGTTCTTTGTCCTTGGTGGCTTTCTTGCAGATGTTTTGTTACCAACTAGGTAATATTGCTACCGATGAAGTTACCTAGTTTGGTAATGAAACATCTGCAAGAAAACCATCAAGCTCAGAATACCAAGAACACCACAGCCATAAGGTTTACTTCTAAACAAAAAGCTTCGGAAAGTGGAATCTTGTTGGAATCTTGCATGAGCAGTAAATCAAGTTCTTGTAGCTTTCGTGCAGCCATAACTTTTGCCTTCCTCTAAAATTATAGCTTTTTTTGAAACTCATTGAACCAGATACTACACATATTAAACACTTCCAATAACTTTAGTAACTTTGTCTGTTTTTTAAAAATCGAATAAAAGAGAAAAAGAAATCAAAATATATTAAAAGCAGTTTGCAGACGTTTAATCTCCAAAGTAGTGTGATGGTTTATTTTGTAATCCTGAATTGCAAATAGAGAAAACTTAAAGAAAACCAAACATAGGATCATTATAAAAAGTACTTCTTTTCTAAAGAAAAATGAACAATGAACATCACCACCTTTCATAAGAACCTTTATCTCATGGAGTTTGATAATAATATGGCATTTGTTCATTTACATTAAAGCTTCCTCACTCTGCTTCCTATCACTGTGTACCATTTCCTTTTAGGTTTAGGCACAAAAACCAGCTGGGTGATCTTGGGCCAGTCTCTCTCTCACTTCTAGGAAGATGGCAATGGCAAACCACTTCTGAAAAACATTGTTAACAACATTAAGTGAACTTTGCATCAATAAAATCTGTTGCTGCCTAATTAACATCCTTTTTAAGAAGTCTCATGATGTTTTGCTTTTTAAAAACAGGTCTCATGCAAAAAATCGAATACTGTATCATCTGCAACACAGTTATCTAAAATCAAAGTAACCTCTACACAAGCTGCAGCAAAGAAAGAAAAACGGCAGAGTTCTTCAAAATTTAGTATTACAAGTAATAGAGAACTCCAAAAACTGCCAGCTTTAAAAGGTATTTGCATTTTTTTTCACATAAATCAAAATACAAGTGGGGATCCCAAAGTCAAGCCTGTGAGATACTAATTCATTGTGGATAACTTTTTCCTTAGTTGTCTTTTTTTTTCTTAATTGTGTTATGTTTATATGTTTATTCTTATTACTTCACTAATGTTTTTTACTTGTTCATAACCAAGCATCACTTTGGCATAAGGGGCAGACATAAAAATTGAAACATTGAATGATGTTGGTTGTAAAATGCTCTTTCATGAAGTGGCCAGATTTTTAAACATAGGACTAGCAGCAAATAAACAGAATATAATACTTGACTAGAAACAGCATAGGATCTAATGGTGTTATATCCTATTTTATAATTAACAATTTTTGGAAAGGCTTGATGTGTACATGCTTAGAGATTTGTCACTTACAATTTCATGTACAGAATTATGCTTTTTGAATCTCTTTACTTTGCTGACATAATGTATTTAAAATACACAGATACCATTATTAGGATTAAAAAGCTTTTATATAATGGGCTGATAATCATGGGATCCTTCCAAACCATGAGAAAAAGAGAAATAAGATCTAGTGGAGATATTTTGTGTCGTTTGGAGGTATTTTGTGTCGTTTGTAGGCATTAATTTCTACAATATGCCAAAGTAAAAAGCAAACATTTGATAATGAATTATAGTAATTGCCTGATTTCTAAATTATTAATAAAATCTGGATTTCTTTATTTTTTCATATTAAATACTTGTAATGTGATCTTATCTTGAATGAACCTAAAGTGCTGCGATATACTTGCTTTATGAGGTACCTTCTATATACCAGTACTATACAGTACAAGTTCTTTCTTTGACAAGACAATTCCATCCTAAGTTACACAAAACTTTCTTCAAGTGAACTTTTGCTCACACAACAGGAATTCCCCTACTTGCTTTTCCCTACATCATATGTTCATGACAGCTTTTGTGATTTTGAAAGTGGACATCATCATTTTACTGATACAATGACTGAACTGTTGTGCTGTTTCAGTGTGCTGTCTGATGGGTATTTATTTCTAAAATATATTTGCCCTTGTCATATTTGCTCAGTAAAAATAATCATGGTTTCTGGGCATGATTGTTGATTTCTTTTAAAAAAAAGCTTTGATCAGAAAATAAAAATAGGAGGAGGAAGCCATGAAGTACACACAATCTCGTAGGAACAGTGAGGTAATCACAATGTATTACTATTCCACAATATGCTTTCTTTCTACAAGTTTAATGCTTTCAAATTTTGTGCTTGTTCAATTAAAATAGGTTTGATTTCTCTCCTAAGGCTGTAATTAATATTACCTTGTGGAATAATATTGATCCGTTGAACCTAAAAACAGTTTTCATTTCTTTGTGCTTAAATAATGCTTGATGAGTAGTATATATGGCTTTCAGTTTTAATGATAAAACATGAATATCTCAGATAGCTTACCTGAAAGAGATAGAGAATAGTGAATAATGAGGAAAGAAAATTTTGTGGAAAATAATTTCATAAAGTATCTTTATAAATATTTCTTGTTTCTTTTGCAAAAATCGTGGATCTGGTTTACCATTAACCTTCTCAGCTTTTGGAAAATGGATGCAGATATGTAATTTGCCCAAAGTTACACCATCTTGGCAATGTTAAGTCTTAAATGCTGGCCATTGGACTGTATGTATTAGGATTTTATAGAATTTATTACATGATAAATGCAATGTCCAACATTTATTTCAAAACCTGATGTTACAGTCATCTAACTTTTCTGCAATCCGGTTGTAAAAACAAAACATTCATATTTAAATTAAATGAACTGGAGCAACTTTCTTCAAGTTGCTAGTATTTTAGACAATCCAAAAATGTACTGTGCATTTTTTTCATACAGTCTGATGAAATTGCTGCTACTTAACACCAATTTTGCATGTTAAATAATTGACATATATACATTATAAACCCTTATTAAATCAATTTTAATGTTTAATTATTAGAGAGTGTTTGAGGACTGATTTTACCTTAAAAATAAAGGTAATACCTGGCTCTAAAATGTGTGTTATATACCCTTCAAAGTCCAGCTCACTTTTTTTTCAATTCAGGACTTGAAAAATGGATGGACCTTTCATAGAGGTCAATTTTAAGGTAGGCGGCCATTAAATTGTGCCTCATGGACATGAGCCCATATGTTGATTTTAGTTCTGTATTTTAGCCTTTTTAAATATAGGCTAACAACAGCGTTGAGCTGAGTTATCTGGTGTGTTTGATTAGAATGGCTGCATGTGACATGCAAATGATTGATAGCCTATTTAATTCATTTTTATTAGAAAGCCCAAATTGCATGTGCATCAACTCTCTTTTTAATCTGGATGAAAAAAATTATTGGGAAATGATAGAGACAAAATGGATATTCACTTTCTAATTTTTTATAAAATGTTCAGTGTACATGATACTGAGATGCTGAGTTTCCTTTATTTCTATGTTCCTTCATAGAATTTTGTAATTGCTCAGTTAAATGCTGTTATCTGGAAGAATATATAAAACTTGAACCACATTATCAAAATCTTCTAATTTAAGAATTAACATTCTAAAATATATATGTATGTATGTATGTATGTATGTATGTATGGTATTCAGCTTTGTTCAGGTATTTTCCCACGTCATTGTAGTTGTGCTTTTAAAGTTGTAGCAACGTTTCGGCAGAATCCCATCCGCCATCATCAGGCTTCTGGACGAACAGACGAACACAATACAGAAGCCTGATGATGGCAGATGGGATTGTTACAACTTTAAAAGCACAACTACAATGACGTGGGAAAATACCCGGACAAAGCTGAATACCATACATGTAAGTACCCACGAAAACTTAAGAAAAAACACACACACACACACACACACACACACACACACACACATATGGTATTCAGCTTTGTTTGGGTATTTTCCCATGTCATTATAGTTGTGCTTTTAAAGTTGTAGGCAGAATCTCATCTGCCATCATCAGGCTTCTGTATAGTGTTCGTCTGTGAGTCAGGCTTTCACAGCCATTTCTGTTTTAAATTTGGTGCTAGCCTACTGCTGTGCCAGAATGGTTTTTTTCTTCATCCTGATTGGTTGGGAGTCTTGGTCTGTGTTTATTGGTCTTGGAGTTTGCTGTGTTCTGCTTGATTGGTGTTTCTAATATCTTCTGTCTGTTTTGTAGCTTCTTTTGTCTTGATTGGCTGGAAAGTCTGACTCACAAACAAACACTATACAAAAGCCTGATGATGGCAGATGAGATTCTGCCGAAACGTTGCTACAACTTTAGCACAACTATAATGACGTGGAAAAATACCCAAACAAAGCTGAATACCATACATATAAATACCCGTGAAAACTTAAAAAAACAAATATGTGTGTGTGTGTGTGTGTGTGTGTATGTATATAAGTTGTATATTTTTGGTTCTGTGTGGCTTTTGAGACTACTAATACATTGACAATACTAGCTTTGCTTGGTTATGTTTTTAAACAGTGAACTGTTTTTAAGAGACAATGGTATTTTATTTCACTTTAGAACTTTGATAAACAATGATATTTAATTAGCAATGTAGCATACTTGGAAAGATAACTCATATTTACTATAAATGGTTTATTAGAAAATAAACTGAAATATAAGGGATATTATTTTAAGTTGCTGTCCATTTTCAAGAAGCCTAAGCATAGTTTAATTTTTGACCATTGAAAGGCAGATAATGGCTGGATTTTTATATCATGCTAAGCTGTAATAGTGCTAAGGCTCAGCATAATATGGTTTCCAGGGGTGGGATTCTACCAGTTCTATCCGGTTCTATAGAACTCCTTGTTAACTTTCTAAGCAGTTTGGAGAACTGATAGTTAGAAGCAATCTCCTTTTGTTTTTTTCCACCCTTTTTACATTCTTGCCAGAACCTAGACTTCCTGTCTCTGGAGCTTGTGAGGCTTGGCTTTCTTAAAGGGGAAGGCTTGTTTTAAGATTTTTACTCTGCTGTTGGGAAGAAATACTTCCCTGGTCAATCAGCACTTTGAAGAAATAATTGAATAATGAAGCAAAGCTTTTAGTGACAGGGAACCAAGATGAGTGCACTCAGCAAGGCTTCTTGGCTAGCTAGAAAGATTGACATTCAAACGTGAGTTTACATACCCTTTCTGAGTTTTGGTCTAAAACTTGTTTTTGGTGAAGGTTAATTCTGTGCTTGGTGATGTTTAATCCTGTGTTTATTGATGGTATAATCTTCCTTATTCAGCTTCAACAAGCAACAGCTACTGTTGTGATTTAATTATTTGTATTGTGTTTGAATTTTTTCCTGCCTCATGGTTTCTTTTCCTATCTGGGGAGGGGGTCTTCCTTCACTGCTTTTTAGTACTATCTGGCACTGTCCTTTTGGGGTATATGTCCAAGAGGCAGGATGCAAGCTTGGCACTGATTTTTTTTACTGCCTTTCTGGGGGACATGTGACCTTTCCTTAAATCTGGATGATTTCCTTAGGATATCTTTTGAGGTGAGAGAGACCAGCTGGTATCTTTGAATGATGCAAATGGATCTAAGGATTGCTTTTCCTGGGTGTGCTTTTTCTGGAGAGCTTAAATGACCTCTCTGCTAAAGGGTTTCACTTTATGAGCAAGAGATGGCTGCTTGATAGTTAGCATTGCATTTTAACTATTTTCATTCCTCAAGGTGCTCTGGCACCCTGCCTGATTTGTAACTCCGGCTTGCAGGTATTTTTAATCGAATGACTGGTATTTAAGGCAGCTTTTTGCAAGCAAAGAAGGTTTTTGTATTTTTGTACAGGTAATCCTTGACTTACAACAGTTCATTTAGTGACCATTCAAAATTACAATGGCACTGAAAAAAGTGACTTATGACCAATCTTCATACTTATGACGGTTGCAGCATCCCCACTGTCATGAGAGGCCAGGCAAGGAGAAGCGCTCCTTGACATGAGTGATGTCGAATTGGCCATGCCCACCCAGTCGCATGACCACCAAGGCACACCC